GGAATATGCATGGCTCTTTTATACATTTTTCAATATGAGAGGAGTTGGCTTAACTGAATAAATAACAGGCAGTAACTATGGCAGCAGTTGGTCCAGAGAATACTTAATATATGTGAGATAACTTGACTTGCTCACATGAGAACATCTGAACTTAAACCACTTTTTATTTTCTTACCCATTCTTCCAAAGCAGCTTCTGAAACCAACACGAACAAAAAGGGAAGAATGCAACTAGCAGTAAGGTCATGAAACTGGTCCTTGTAACAGCCAGCCTGTTACCAGGCTTAGCAAGGAGTCCCAGAGAATGGCCGTGAAAATAAACATCAACTTTGTTGATGTGTTTTATATTGGAAACACATTGTCGATGTGTTTTATATTCCTGACTGTGAGGTTATTATTTTGAGATGTGATTTATTTTAATTCAGCCCACCGCAGAGTCAAAAACTCCTGTATGGTGATGATACTAAGAATATATTTTCCAAGCTGTGGGCTGAAATAGTTTAAGAGATAGTTAAGATAAAAGTTTTGTGACAGTTATGGACTGAGACTAACCTTATTGGTTTTATTACTGTTCCTGAAGCCCATTCTTGAGATATTTGAAAGCTTTCCACACAAATGTTTATCTGAAATATAAATGAGTCATCCAAATGTGGTATTTGTTACCTGAATGATTTTAAAAATATTTCTGAAATACCATGTTCCAATTAATTCCATTTTAGGAGCTGTATTAGAGCTTAGACTTTTGAAACAAATGGGATTGTGAGTGATGACTTCTGAAAGAGTAGTGTTAGAAGGGGAAGTTTCTTTTTCATGAAGACAGATACAACCGAGAGCATGGCCTACGTGTTGTGGCCCATGGCGGAGTAAAGGAAGAAGACAGTGATTTTTCTGTTCATGGTGTCTTCTCCCTCTTTGTTGACACCATCCAAACAAATAACTGTTTTCATCTGGATGCCTGCTTCATACAAGCTCAGTTAAATGATCCCTGTCTGTCATGTAGCTTACTGAATGCTCATCTGATGTTAATTGATCTTTCACCCTACCTATCCAGCTGAAACAGTGGTTTAAGTAGAGGGAAGATGATCCAGGCTGTGCAGTCTCTCAGCCATCCAAGTTCCCTGACAAAATCATGTGCCACCTCCTTCCTTAGTGGCAAAGGGTCACAGGCGTGGAAGTTGAAAGGTTGTTAAATGTCTCATTTCTGTGTCATTGTGAATCACAAGTGTGTATTGCAAGGAAAAATCCTAGTGTTACGGCAAGGGGGGGGGGCGGGAATAAACATTTTGTAGTAGGCTCCAGTAGTAGTGAAGTTTTCTAAAATTATGTATTTTATTGAAAAAAAAATTCATCCACAGTAAATTTTCATTGAAAGCTTTTTATGTGGCACTTAAACACTCAAGGCTGGGTGCCCTTCCTCCTCTTCAATTACGCAGTTTGGGTAAATTATAAGCAGTTATAGTTTTCCAATTAAACTTATACGCATCATAAGGCAGATGCATTGTATTATGAATAGACTATAAAGAATCAAAGTTTTTGTTTAAACAATGGCATTGCATATAAAGCCATAGAGAAAGTTTATGAAAAAAACCCCCATGTATACAAGTGAACAGGATTGTGATCTCACAGGCTGTGATGTTGTTATTTTGCTGTGCTACAGTGGCTGTGGTCCCACAGCACATGTCTCTGTAGGGGTATGAGTCCTCCCAAATCTGTCATAGTTGATAGTGGTGCAATTCCTATTTTTAGATTGCAAGAAGAAAAGAAAGATAATTTTATTTTCATTTTTTCCTCAAGAGGAAAGTTTTGCTTTTCAATGCCTACATTTTTTAAAAAGAAGATTTTGAGTGAGTTCAAGTGATTTACGCGTTTGTTTCCAATGCATCATTGAATAAGAGAACCAGCTCTGAAGTCTGTGTAGATTCCCTTATACTCACTTTAGAAGGAAATAAACTAGAATTAATTAAAAAAATGAACCATACTGCAGGTAAACACGTCCTGTATTAACAGCACCAGTAGTAATCTGCATCTTAATTCTTTTGTTGCTTTTTGGAGGGTAGTTTTTACAATGCTGGATATTTTGTCACTCGTACTTTCCTTTCAAGCTATCATATCCCATGAGTTGCTTTTCTTACCAAAACAGTAATTATCAGTACTTGTGACTGCTGAGATACCCCCTGCTTCAGATACTCCTTGACACATACAGGAAAAGAGTCCGGTACGAGTAATGCACCAACAGCCAGGAAGGGTCAAGTATGGCTAATAGGCACATGGTGGAAACTCAGCCCACAACATCTCACTGGGCAATTGCCCAGTTTGGACACAGGAGCTGATACCAATGCTTCCGTCTTTCCAGAGTTCAGGATGCTGTATGACAGTATGTGGGCTAGGAAAGCCTGCACCTGGGCATGCACCACATGCATTTTGTCTAGATAGAGATGTATTTTTTTAAAGCCTTTTATATCAGAAACTTGGCTGCTATATTGGGGTGAAAAGTGTGTTGTAATTTTCTAGGCCAGCTGCAGAAGATCTCTTTGAAGAGCACTTTTGCAGATGGCTAAAGACAGATATTGAGGGAAGAGAGGGGTAGTTCACAGCTGAATTCCCCTGTGACCGACTATTTTGATGCTTTTTAGACCTACTTGTCTTTAAGGTGCCTCAGTCCTAACATGGGCATATTTATTATTTGGAATATAAAGAAATGAAATTAATCTCATGGCTATAAAACTTGGAAATAACAACTAGAGTTTGAACTTGTACCCAGTGTACCCCTTCTTGGTTGTATTTGACAACTTAAAAGAAGCAAGTACAAGCTGTTGCGTTCAAATAACATTTATCTCAAGAGCGCTAATCAATGCGCACTTTGTTATCTTGATCATGTTGTATAATACATGGGCCTAAAAGCATCTGAAATCTGTGGGCTGTCTTTGGCATTGTATTTCTCATTTTTCTTTTCTGTCTTTCCAATTTGCTAAGTTTGCTGGAAATTTCATATAAAGACATGAACAATTCATGCATGCAGAACATATTGACTTCTGTTTTTCACTAACATTCATTGACCTTTTAGGTCAATAAATTTTGAAGTTGACTTAAGAAGTCAATAAGCCTTATTTTAATTTAGATTAAGTTTTAGTCTGATTCAGCACTCTGCTTCCTTTTTTATAAATAATAAAAAAAAGCTTATAGCAATTTATTATTGAGTGGCATGTCAACTAAGAACTGTTTCTTATAGGTCTAGGAATCCCTGGCTGGATTATATTTTTTGCTGTATTCCCAAGACACTATTTGAAAGTGACATTCCAGCCTCCCAGTGCGTACCCTGTCCCTCTCAATTGCTCTGACATCAATTGTAGAAAGTGATACAGATAATTAAACAAAACCATGTGAATTTCAGGAGCAAATGTTTTCCATCACGTTGGAATTTCACCTTACATGAGCAAATTTGACTTAAATTACATTTCCATCTGACATTATTAATTCCATCAAGGAATCTTTGTGTATTATTAATTACAGTTACCAATTATATTATTTCATCTTTCCTTTCCATTGGAGCTTCAATAAAAATTCATCAAGTGAAGGACATGATTATCATAATAATTTTAAAAATCCACCTACACTCTT